ACATAACAATTTATGTACCTAACTAAATTACACTAATTTATTCAGCATCTGGGTATAAAGTTAAAAATGACTAGCTTCCTCATTTTATTTAAAAAATTAGAAAAAATCTTTTACTGGTCCTAGAAACTAGCCCTTTTTAATTTTAATTTTGAGACACCAGTTTTTGCTAAGTTGGTGAGGCTGGCTTTAAACTTTCTGTCCTCTTACTTTAGCCTTTCAAATCACTGGGATTGTAAGTGTGTAACATTGCACCTGTCTTTTAACTTTTTTAAAAAATATTTTTTAGTTGGACATAATACCTTTATCTTATTTATTTATTTTGTTTTAGGTGGTGCTGAGGATTGAACCCAGGGGCTCACATGTGCTAAGCGAGCACTCTCCCGCTGAGCCACAACCCCAGCCTGGTTTTTAACTTTTAATAAAAGTTTTTAGGGGCTGGGATTAGAGCTCAGTGGTAGAGTGCTTGCCTCGCATGTGGAAGGCACTGGGTTTGATCTTCAGCACTACGTAAAAATTAAATTTAAGGTATCTTGTCCATCTACAATTAAAAAAAAAATTAAAGAAAAAAAAAATTTGTCATTTTTAATCCTATGTTGAGTGAAGAGGCTTAAGAGTTCTTAAATTTTTGTAGCACTGATCTTTAAAGTGAAATAAAAATTCATAGAACAGGAAAAGTCTGAATTATTTTCTATACTGTGGTGAGAATATTGGGAAACAATGATATAAATGGAATTAGGAAATATGTAATCTTTTACGTCTCGCTTGAGTCAATAAGTCTTGTGGGATTTATTTGTATTATGAGTAGTTGTGGATCCTTTGTTTTCATTGTTTTATAGTAATTATTTTGGTACTTAGTCTATTGTGAAAGGACATTTAGCTGTTTTTTATATTTTTTCTGTTAGGAATAATACTAGTTTCTGGCATGGGTTTGTGGCTCAGGGGTAGAGTGCTTGCCCCATGTGTGTGAGGCACTGGGGTTGATACTGAGCACCGCATGAGTAAATAAAATAAATCAATAACTAAAAAAAATATATTAAAAGAAATTGATGCAGACTTAAACTTTGTTTTAAAAAATACTACTAATCAATATTTTTGTACATGTCTTTCTCTTGGTATACTAAAAGTATTTTATTTATTTATTTATTTTTTATAGATGGACACAATGTATTTTTATGTAGCGCTGAGGATTGAACCCAGTGCCTCACGCGTGCTAGGCAGGTTCTCTACCACTCCCACTGAGCTACAGCCCTAGCCTGTACATGTATTTCTTTGAGAGATAAGCCTTGAAGTTGTTGGTTCAGAAGGATTTTATTTGTGTGTGTGTGTGTGTGTGTATTTAATTGTAGTTGGACACAATACCTTTATTTACCTTTTTTTTTTTTAAAGAGAGAATTTTAATATTTATTTTTTAGTTTTCGGTGGACACAACATCTTTGTTTGTATGTGGTGCTGAGGATCAAACCCGGGCCGCACGCATGCCAGGCGAGCGCGCTACCGCTTGAGCCACATCCCCAGCCCCCTTTATTTACTTTTATATGGTGCTGAGGATTGAGTGAACCCAGGGTCTAGGCAAGCACTCTACCACTGAGCCACAACCCCAGCCCCAGGATCATATATATTTAATCTTACTCATTAATGCCACACATGATTTCAAAATGTTGAATTGCTTCCCATAGTGAGATATGTGACAAAAAAATGTGTGTAGATATTTCTCTTGCTACTTGTCGCTTGTTTTTTAATTTTTTGCTTCATTGATTTCAAGACATGTTATTGGTGCCTACCAGGGCTTTTCTTTTCCTACTGCCTTGTGAATTATCACTTTCCCTCTAATGTTTTTTCTTTTAATCCTTTTATAGCAATATAACTATGCTACCTTTCTTTGGCTAGTGTGTGCATCGTATGTTTTCATCTTGACTTTCTTTCCAGTTACACATATATTAGATATTTACTGTTCATTCCTTTTTTTTTTGAAATGCTGATTTATAGAGATATGCACAATCCACTGTTAAACCTCTTGAGTTCTTAATTTTAGTTACTATATTTTTTAGCTCTGAATTTCCATCTGGTTCTTGTTTTAGAGTTTTTTTTTTGCCAAAGTACTCATTGTTTTAATATCTGGAAAGTCATTATTTCAATAATTTGCTTCCCTTAGGGCCAATTCCCACTGTATGTTGATTTTTCTCAATTTTTACAATGGGGTTACTGTTGCAGCTGTGGGTCATCTGTAAACTTAGGTATAGCCTTAAGACAACAGTCTAAGCTTGGGGGATTCCCCTGCATTTAGGAGGCTGTGAAGTGTAATTTTTACTATCTTAATTTAAGGGTTTGTCTGTCAGTTTTTTGTTGTTTACTTGCTAAGCTTTTCAGCTTCCTCCTTTAGAGTGAAATTCTAGAATATAGGAAAAAAGATTTTTTCCCCTTGTCTATAAACTTTCATAGCCTTTTTATAGTTAGCTGGTGCCTTCATGGTTGGTTGCCTTCATGAAAACTGAAGGGACATCAGTAAAGGAAAGGCACCAGGGGAAAAATGAGGGAGGAAAAGGGAAAATAGTGAAGAAGGATGTTATCCAAAATATATTGTGAGCCAAATGCATGGCGCACATCTATAAAAAGTTTTCACCAGATTTTCTTGGTTTTGTTAGTGAAGGTTCTGGCTCACTTGTTTTTATCTGTTATCAGTCATGGAACTCATTAGTAGTTTTGGCTTTAACAAAAGTCTGCACTGACATATTAAGGAAAACACAGTTTAAGAGCAGTTCCTGTTAATATTGAAATTCTACAACAGATCAGTGTCCATCAGACGGCTCCTGTGTGAAAATTGATCTGTGCTTTAAGTTCAAGGAATAGGTGCTTTCATTGAGTATTTTTTTCCTGTATTTTTTATTGGTGTCATGATAGTTTTATATAATGGTGGGTTTCGTTGTTACATATTCATACATGCACACGATATCACAATATTTATCTATCTATTTATTTATTTATTTAGTTAGTCATGGTGCCACACCCCCAGCCCTGTCAGCCCTGTTTTGTATTTTATTTAGAGACAGGGCCTCACTGAGTTGCTTAGCACCTCACCTTTGCTGAGGCTGGCTTTGAACTTGTGATCCTTATGTCTCAGCCTCCCGAGCTGCTAGGATTATAGGTGTGCGCCATGCATCTGGCTCACAATATAATTTGGATAATATCCTTCTTCACTATTTTCCCTTTTCTTCCCTCATTTTTCTACCCTGGTCCCTTTCCTTTACTGATGTCCCTTCAAGTTTTATCAGACTCAAATCCTACTTTTCCTTTTTCCTCTCTAGTTTCCACATTAGAGAAAACATACGACCCTTGACCTTCTGAGTTTGGTAATTGCTTAACATAATCTCAATTTCCATCTATTTTCCTGCAAATGACATTCTTTTTTATGTTGAATAAAACTCCATGTGTATACATCTCATTTTCCTGCAAATGACATTTTTTTTAATGTTGAATAAAACTCCATGTGTATACATCTCATTTTCTTTAACACTCATCCATTGCTTGTCTTGTAGGCTGATCCCTTAGTTTGGCTGTTGTGAATTATGGGCATGCATGTATCACTGTCGTATGATGACTTTAATTCTTTTTTTTTTTTTAAAGAGAGACGGTTTTTTAATATTTATTTTTTAGTTTTCGGTGGACACAACCTCTTTATTTTAATGTGATGCTGAGGATCGAACCCAGCACCCTGTGCATGCCAGGCGAGCACGCTACCGCTTGAGCCACATCCCCAGCCCCTGACTTTAATTCTTTAGGGTAAATACCAAGAAGTGGTATAGTTCATTGAGTAATTTTATATTTGACTTTGGTATTTGGGAAGTGGCATGCCTTTTTTTAAAATTAAAATCAGTAGTTTTTATTTATTTATTTTATTTTATTTTTTTAGTTTATTTTTTAAAGTAGACTCTTAAAAAAATTTTATTGGTTCTTTTTAACTATACATGACAGAATTTATTTTGACATAATTGTACAAGAATGAAATATATCTTGTTCTAATTCAGACCCCAGTACCTCTCCTTCCCCTTCCCCACTTCTTGCTCCCTTGATCTTTCTGCCATTTACCCATAGTTTTTTTTTTTTTTTTTTTTTTAAATTTATTTGTTGTGGATATATATGATGGTGATATTCACTGTGGTGTATTCATGTATGTATGTAGGAGAGTTAAGTCAGATTCATTCCACTCTTTCCTTTTCCTATCCTCCCTTTATTCCCCTTTGTCTAGTCCACTGAACTTCAATTCCCTGTCCCCCTTGTTGTGGGTTAGGTTCCACGTATCAGAGAAAACATTCAACCTCTGTGCTTTTTTTTTTTTGAGGAGGAAAATGGCTTACTTCATTTAGCATGATAGTCTCCAGATCTGTCCATTTACTGGCAAATGTCATAAAGTCATTCCTCTTTATGGCTAATACTCCATTGTGTATAGTAGTTGTTTTATTTGGCAGATTTTGAAAAATTATTATTTTTTTGATAGAAATATGATTTTAACATTTTTCACCAGAATTAAAAAGCTCTAACAACAATTCTTCTAAAAACTGAAAATCTGTAAATAATTATAGCCAGTGCTTGAGAATTATTTCAAATATTTGTCTGTATCTAGGTATACAAATAGTGATACATTTCCTTAAGTTTGATTATTGCATCATGTAAATATTTTTGTAATTTCTGAGATACGTGTAAGTGACTTCCCTTTTGAGTTGTTACTTTAACCCATTATAAATCAGTGAATTACAGCATAGTTTGAAAAATGCTGATCTCAGGTGCTTTTCCTCATGTCTTCTAAAGCCCTTGAAAGTTAAAAAAAAAGAGTGCCAAGTTTAAGTTAATGGTATGTAGGAAATCTGTTATTTAAGATTGTGTACCTTTTTAAGCTTTTATTTTTGCCTTAAGTAATTTTGGGAACTTGATAGGATTATATATTGCTGACACTCTTCCTTATTTAAATAGGTGTTGATTTTCTTCTGTATGTTTCTTTGTTTCAGTTGGATTCAATGGTTTCGGTATCACAGTCTAGACAGAGGACGTGTAGGCGTAAATATTCAACTTATGGTAGAAGAAATGTTGGCCGGTGTGAGTTATCCTCTGGAAATGAGTCTTCAGGTTCTGGAAGACAGGTAAGTGGATTAACTTTAAAATACATAAGATAATCCTAAGTATATTTGCCTCAGTTCTTTGACTCTATGCTGGATTTATGTGAAAATACAATATCCTTAAGGAATTAAGATGAAATTTCATGGTTTGATAGTTGGGGAGGAAGCAGTGGGGTCTTCCTATACTGCCCAGGCTGGCCTTGAGCTCTTGGTCTCCAGTGATGGTTTTCTTTTTTCTCCTTGACTGTCTCTCCCAAGTACCTTTGGCCTCATGCCATCACACCAGGCTTGAATTTTGTTTTATTTTTTTTTTTAATTGAAAGTTTCTAAAAGTTTCCAAAAACATGAAATATGTGTATGATCCAATGGTTTCAGTATTCTATAGCATTATCACCATTACTTAATTTCTAAACATTTTTATCACTTTTAATGAAACATATGCCATTTATAGTTTCTCAACTTCCTGTCTTACTCCCAAATTCTTGGTAACTACTAATATTCTTCCTGTCTGTAGATTTGCCTATTTTGGACATTTCATATAAGTGGAATTGTGCAGTTAGTTTTTGTGTCTCATAGTGTGACTGGCATCTTTCATATAACGTAACGTTTTTAAGATTAAGCCATGTGAAAAAAAAAAAAAGATTAAGCCATGTGTAGCATGTATCAATTTTATTCTTTTTTTAATATTTATTTTTTAGATGTAGATGGACACAACACAATGCCTTTGTTTTTATGTGGTGCTGAGGATCTACTGCTGAGCCACAATCCCAGCCTCTCAATTTTATTCTTTATTACCCAGTAATATTCAGTTGTATGCATGTATGCCACAGTTTTTTTTAATTCATTCACTAGCTTCTGGACATTTGTGTTCCTGTGTTGACAGTGCTGCCTGTCAACATTTATTTGTGGGTTTCTGTTTGCATATATGTCTTCATTTCTTGGGTGTATACCTAAGAGCTGATTTGCTGGGTCATTGGAAAATCTCTTTAACTTTTTGAGGACTTGTCAGACTGTTTTCCAAATTGGCTGTATTATTTTATATTTCCATCAGTAATGTATGAGAGTTCCAGTTCTCTCTGTCCTTACACTTGTTCATTCTCTTTTTCATTTAAGCTACCTAGTTAAGTGGCATATTCTGGTTTCAATTTGAATTTCTCAAACAACTAAGAATGTTGAACATGTTTTCATGTGGTTATTTGGAGAAATTTCTATTTGAATTGGTAACCCATTTTTCAACTTGGATTTGTGTCTTCATTGCTATAGGAATTGTGTGTATGTATATATAGTCTAGATATAAGTCCTTTAGCAGACATATGACTTACAAATATTTGTAGGTTATTATTTTCTTCTTTTTTTAATATTATAAGCATTTAAAAACTATATATATATATATGTTTTTATGTGGACATAACACAATGCCTTTATTTTTGTGTGGTGCTGAGGATTGAACCCGGGTCCCGCTTGTGCTAGGCGAGTGCTCTACCGCTGAGCCAAATCCCAGCACTCCCCCTCCTTTTTTTTTTTTTTTTTTGTGGTGCTAGGGATTGAACCCAGGGCATTGTGCATGCAAGGCAAGCACTCTCCCAAGTGAGCTGTGTCCCCAGCTCTCATTTTAATTATCTATCTATCTGGTACCAGGGATTGACCTCAGGGAAACAACCACTAAGCCACGTCCGCAACCCTATTTTGTATTTTATTTAGAGACAGGTCCTGGTGTATTGCTCAGGACCTCACTAAGTTGCTGAGGCTGGCTTTGAACTTTTATCCTCCTACCTCAGCCTCCTGAGCCACCGGGATTTCAGGCATGCACCACTGTGCCCAGCTCCTCAGTTTTATTTTTTAATTTTTTTGGGAAACCAATTTTTCATGAAGAGTGTTTAACGTTAGTGTTTTCTGATTCAGTAACATTTTGGGCAATAAGATGTTCCACATGGTCCATCCATTCACTTAGAGCTCCTTTTATAAAGCAGTAGGATAGTAGTCATGCATGCGTTCGGAGTTAAATATAATACAAATTCCACTAATTAGGCAAGTTTCTTAGTCTTTATGTGCCTGTTCCTGTTATAGGAGGTTCCTCAAATGGGTTGTGAAGGTAAATGTAGATCATAATGTCCCAGGATTAAAATAGTGCCTAATATACAGTGATGTTTCCTGCTCTTGTCATCAAAATTTCATTTATAATGATTTTATTATATGTAGTTTTTATAGTATTTCTTAATTGTAGTGTTTTGAGCACATTTTAACTATTTTTGGGTCATTTATGATAACACTTACCAGCACCTTGAAATAGCATGAGGTATATGTTACTTCATTGTCTCCAGTGGGGGTATCAGTTAGACTTGGAGTCAGTGCTAGTAGCTCATTATCTGAAAGTTCAGTCTCATCGTAGGTTGTTACTTTCTATCTCAGCCCCTAGGGCTCATCTGGTGGGGTGCTCTTCAGTTTGGTAGAAAGCCATATGACCCCCGAGTGTTCTATAAACTAACACTCAGGTGGCTGCTGTGTCTTATGCTGTCCAGTTGCTTCTAGCAAATACTGACACTTAGTTGTATTCTGTGTTAGTGGTATCGTGTACTTCTCAAAGCATTTCTTCAGACCTATCCAAAGATATTTTCTACAGTAGATTTTGTATTGGGATTTGAAGTTGAGCAGTTAAAATGAACTAATCCTGTTATGAATGAAATTCTCTGTGTGTCTTTCTAAAGCCCCAGGACACAAATTGCCTGTCCTTCCTTCTACACTGTGGCTGACTTCTACCATCAAGTCATTATTTGCCTCCTTTCTGGTCTTTCACAGGATACCTATGAATTTGCTCATTTCTATATTCTGTTTAAGGCACACTTTGATTTTAGAGCTTTTATAATGTGAGCCTTATTGATTGATCTACTTGACATTTGGTTACTAGGGCTTACTGGAAAAAGCATGAAATTAAGGGTAGAAACCTGGTATTTGTTGACTCTGAATGCTGTAATCTGCTATCAGAGTTTTTTTTTTTTGTTTTTAAATCTCTGAACCTTTTCACAATCTTGAAGAGGAAACAATATTATTTTCCTTCCAGGGACATTGTGCATTTATTGAGAACTTAGGTGAAACTTGTGAAATATTTTATAGGTGCATAAAACATTCACCATAGTTTTCAGAAGCATCTCCATTTTATTTCATCCAAAATTTATCTGATGTTTGTGGCCTATCCTTCTGGCTGGCTAACATCGCCTTACCTTGTACAGATGAGCAGAAGGAAAACCACAAGGGCTTATGTGGCCTTCCACAAGCAGGAAGTGCTAGGTGGGAACCATAAGTCCGTGGTCCGATTGTTTCTAATATAACATTATTTCTTCTGAGGTCTGATTTGTCTCTCTGTGACATGGCTACATGTGATTTTAATCTTTTAGTTAGTTATTTTCTGCTGTCTTTATGTTGGATGATTGTTTTTCCCCTTTTTCTGCATGTACACTAGTTCTAAAACTTGTATAAAGTATAAAGTATGATATATGGAATTGAATCACCAGATTATTCCCATTGTTTCAAATGAGGACTTATACAGTTTCGGATTGGTAGGAGGTCGCACCCTCGTTGAGTAGAGCACATGTATTGGAAACAACTGTTTTACTGTCAGCTGTGTTCTAGCACTTCCACTCAGGTTTCAAGAGTTTGTATGACATGGTGGATGTTGTGGGAGGTTACCTTTGGGAAGCATGGGACTCCTGCGTAGAAGCCTGTATGTAAGCCTCTAGAGAGGCTTGTGTGGTACAGTATGATTATCGGGGTTGGCATGGAAGTACAAGAATTACCATTATTATTGGGTTTAACTATGACAATTGCTACAGAACGGGAACAAACATTAATGCATTTTATTATGCTAGTCACACTGTTCTAAGTATTGTAAATAATATATAATTTCATCCTTCCAGCAAGTAGGAATTAAGGTACTCCAACAGTTTGTTTTTTACAAACAGGTATAGGTATGAGATTTCTTTAACTTTCCCACACTGATGTAAAAATACACCATGGAGGTGGGGGGCAGTGGTGCCATACCTGACATCCCAGTATCTTAGAGGCTGAGGCAGGAACATCGAAAGTTCCAGGGCAGCCTTAGCAAAGTAGTGAGATCTGTCCTCTCTCAAGAAATTAGAAAGGACTGAGGATGCAGTGTAGTGGTAGAACACCCCTGGGCTCAATCCCCAGAAGAAAAGAAACGTGCAAGGCCACTGTGAACTTAGAACGTGGCCTCTGCCTTCCTGTAGCATCAGTTTATTTGAGGATTTGGGCAAATTAAACTTCTCATTGTAAACAAATTTTCAGATATAAGGAAAGTTCTAAGAAAGTTCCTCTATTTCTTTACCCTTAAAGGTGTCATTCTTGTATTTATATGAATTTTCCCCCTAACCATTTTTTATTTGTTCTAATTAGTTATACATGACAACAGAATGCACTTCAACTTACTGTACACAAATGAAGCACAACTTTTCATTTCTCTGGTTGTACACAATGCAGAATCATACCATTTGTTCAGTCATACATGTACATATATAGGGTAACAATGTCCATCTCATTCCACAATCTTTCCCATCTCCATACGCCCTCCCCCATCTGCCCAATCCAACGTTCCACAATTCTTCCCTTGTCCCCTAATATTTTTTTTAGTTGTTGATGGACCTTTAGTTAAGTATTAATTAATATGTGGTGCTGGGAGCCGAACCCACTGCTTCACACATGCTAGGTGAGCACTCTACCACTGAGCCACAGCCTTCCCCTAATCATTTTGACAGTGAATTGTCATGTGCTTTTCCACACCTGCATATTTCCTTGTGTGTTTCCAAATAAGGATATTGTTTAACATTTTCCTTGATATAATTACCCAAATCAGGAAATGTTAATACATTACTGTTAGCATCAGTTCTACAGCTGTTTGTCACATTTTGTTATTGGTACCTAAATCTTTTTTTTTTTAAAGAGAGAATTTTTTAATAATTATTTTTTAGTTTTCGGTGGACACAACATCTTTATTTTTATGTGGTGCTGAGAATCGAATCAAGCGCCCTGCGCATGCCAGGTGAGTGCGCTACCACTTTATCCACATCCCTAGCCCAACATTTATTTTTTAGTTGAACCCAGTACCTTTATTTTTATTTATTTTTATGTGGTACTGAGGATCGAACCCAGGGCCTCGCACAAGCTAGGCAAGTGCTATACCATGAGCCACAACCCCAGCCTGGTACCTATAATCTTGATAACAAAAGAAAACCAAAAGTCATGTGTTAGTAGTCAGTTCATCTGTTCAGTTGCCTTCACCCTAGTATAGTTTCTCAGTTTTTGTCTTAATGCTTACATTTCTGACCAGTAGCTTTTATGAGTGCGCGTTTTTTGCAGTAGTGCCACAGGTGGCCATGTATTCTTCTCAGCACCTGGCATCAGATGATGTGCGATTTGTTTTGTCCCATTATTGACCACTTGGGTTAAGGTAGTGTCTGCTAGGTTTCGCTATCTTAAAATTACCTTCTTTCTCCTTTTTAATTAAGGAATTCTCTTGTAATTTTCAGCGTGGGCTCAGGTTTGGCAGCCATTGGTGATTCTAGTTTGAATTTGTTGCTATGATACCTGTAAATGGTAAATTTTTTCCACCCGTAGTTCCTTTAACATTTACTAGTTGGCATTCTACTACGTGGAAGAACTTCTGTCTTTTTGGCATTAATTATTTAATGTCTTAGGGCTCGTTGCTCATTGGATCATTGGGTTGCTCTTGTCCACTGCTTTTTGTGATGAAGTTATCTTTGGTCAGTGGAGATTCTAATCAAGCTTTTTTTTTTTTTTAAACCATTTTCCATTATTCTTTGAGCAGTTACTCTTTCAGAACAAGATTTTTTTTTTTTTTTTAGGCTCTATAGAGTTGCCTTTTTTTCAGAATATCATGTGATTGGAGTCATAATGCATGTAGCCTTTGCCAAGATTAACTTCTTTCATTTATCAGTGTGCACTTAAAAGTGTTCTGTAGGTCTTTTCATGGCTTGATAGCTGTTTACTTTTTAACAAAATATAATTAATATGCTATTGCCTGGATGTAACAGCTTTTTTATTCACTTCCTGAGGTATATACTTGGTTGCTTCCAGGTTTTGTCAATTATGAATAAAGTTGGTAAAAATCTATGTGCAGGTTTTTTTTTTTTTTGGTGGGGGGACTGGGGATTGAACCCAGGGATGCTTAACCACTGAGCCACTTCCCTATCCCCCCCACTTTTAAAAAATATTTATTTTTTTAGCTTTAGGTGGACACAATATCTTAAAATAAAGATATTTTATGTGGTGCTGAGGATCGAACTCAGTGCCTCAAGCATGCTAAGCGAACACTCCACCACTGAGCCACAACCCCAGCCCCCTAGCCCCTTTTTATATTTTATTTAGAGACAGGGTCTCTCTGAGTTGCTCAGGGCTTTTCTAAGTTGCTGAGGCTGGCTTTGAACTCGAGATCCTCCTGCCTCAGCCTCCCAAGCCTCTGGGATTACAAATGTGAGCCACTGTGCCTTGCCCATGTGCAGATTTTTATGTGGACATAATCTTTTAGCTCATTTGGGTATACCAAGGAGTGTGATTGCTGGATCATGTGATAAGACTCTGTTTAGCTTTGTAAAAAATTGCCAAGTTGTTTTCCAAAGTAGTCGTACTGTTTACATTTTCATCGCTTGTGAGTGAGTTCCTGTTGACTCACATTCTTTTGAAGATGTTAGTTTTCTCTAGCATCATGTAATGGATTCAATAGAATCCCAGTCAAAATCCCAAAAAGTTATTTTTGTGAATATTGACAGTTGATTTTTTTCTTTTATTTTTTACTTTTTAATTAGATAAAAAAATGAACAATGAAACCACACAGGCATACCATTTATGTAGAAACACCAGATAAGAGCATGTACAAATAAATGTTTAAGCCACTACATTCTTTATAATATTTTGAGTAGCATTGTCACATCATTTATAATGGCATATATTTATAAAAGATGTTTTAAGACTGATTGGTAAATATAGTTTTATCTTTATTTTCTTTTAAAATAATACGAGAAGAATTATGCATTTACACAGTATTTCTGGATGATACGTTGACTGTAAATTTGAAAGCTATATACAACATCAGTCCTGTAGATGACAAATATAAACCTAACTTATTTAATCCTATGCGTTAACATTTTTCAGTAGCACCCTTATTTTTTTTTAAAGTTGAATACTACAAATGGTTCTTGCAAGGCTATTGTGGACATTGTATAGTGGTTAGGGGCTGATTTTACATGACTATCCAATTCAGAGTCCAATTTAGAGCTAAAAATCAAATGTATTACAAAAAAAGATAGTCACATGCAGCATAATCAGATTTTCAGACAACAGTTTCTAAAGCTCTCATCATTCTACTTCCCCCCTCCTTTTGCTTTCACTTAATATATCCCTTTGTTTTCAAGAAGCAAAAAAAAAGTTCACCAAAATTCTGATTGTCACAGTGTGCACAGCACTGAATGAGAATAGCTTTGGCATTTAGTATTACAGAGTCATTTTCATCACAGATGTTTTCTTCATTAACCAGATTAATGTGCATGAGCATGTTGCAAAGCTGTCTTCTGCTGGGCTGTAATATGCTGCTGCTCTGCATGATCCCAGAAGTCCTTATCAAGAGCAGGTCTGGGTAGTGCAATGCTTATCCTGAAGGATTTGCTGCCATCTTCCTGTTTTCAATTATATTCAGAAATAACTGATTAGCACTTTATAGTCACCCGGGATGCCAGGGCACTGTGGAGGCCTCACTGCTGGTTGCAGCTGTCAAGGTGGAACACACCACCTAGAGATAGGCAAAACCTCCGCAATGTGCCGAACTATCTGATTTTTCAAGTTTATGTGGAGCCAGGAAAAGACTTAGGATAACTGACACTCACTAAGAACAAATTAAAGGACTGGTGTACTGACTCCCGTCAAGAGTTACTGTGAAACTACACCAATAACCATGGTTTTTGGTGGAAGAATAGACAAATAGATAATTGAAACAATGTAAAGAGTTCAGAAATAAGTCAACTCAAATACAGGTAGCTGATCTATGGCAAAGGAGCAGAGACAACTCTCTACAAAGCATAGTCTCCAGTGAGTGGTGTTGGAATAACTGAAAAGTGAGTGTATGCACTGACTTTTCACAAAAATTAACACAGGATGGATCATAAATTTAATATAAATGTAAAATGCGAGGCTACAAGGCTTCTTTCTAGAAGATAACCAGGAATAAAATCTAGATATTCTTGGATAATTTGGGTTCCATTGAAATTAAAAACTGTTCTGGGAAAGATAACTGCTAGAGAATGAAAAGACAAACCACAATTGAGAGAAAATATTTGCAAAACTCAAATCTGATAAAAGACTTGTATTGCAAATATACAGAGTATTGTTAAAATTGTATCAGTAAGGAAACAACCCAATTTCAAAATGGGCAAAAGATCTAATGCACATTACCATGGTGGTGAATAACTATATGAAATGATGCTGTCACACATCTCAGGGGATCAAAAAGAGCGTAGCAGTCAGATGCCACTGCTCACCTTCGAGCAGAGCTGAAGCCAGACCCCTGAGACATCCTCAAGAACTGCTGACTTCCCCCAGGCTGGCCTTGTACCACTACCTTTCCTGATGGCGGCAGTGTTCAATCTCCTAAATATTCTTTTTGTGTATGCCTTGATAAGCATCAGGATGCAGTAAAAAAAGTTTTAAAATTTATTTAATTTTTCTTTTAAAACCAGTTGTTATAGTCATTAAATGATTTAATCCTTCTGATGACTGTTCAGTTTTTTAAAATATGTGTTATTTAACTTAAAGGGATTAAGACTTTTTTCCTCTCCTCTCAAATTAGGAGACTTCCTGTGATCAAAGTGAAGGTTCTTATTCGTCAGAAGAAGATGAATGGAAGAGTGATAGAAAAAGTGAAAGCTATACTGAAAGTTCAAGGTATTGTTCTTAATTATTTTGATCTTTGAAGCATATTAGTCATAGTCTTGGATGTAAGGTAATTTGAAGACATTCAAGGAGCAACAGTTAACAACTCTGGAACAGATTAACATTTAGCTTTTCATAGGTTTAAAAGAATACTGGATTAACAGCTTCTATAGAAATATTCTGAGCATGTTTAACTGACAGTAGCATTTGGCCCAGCAGTTTATGTGTGGTAAAACCATTAGTATTTTTTTTATTAATGCATGTTATGTTTTATTTAATTTGGGGATTCAAATTTTGTAGGTCTAGATTGTCAACCTTGATTTCTTATCTTGGTAAATGTCATGTTCTTCTTGTTAGCTGATCAAGGCAGAAATCTGGATATTATTAAAAAAAAAAAAAAGTCCTCCTCTCTTCTCTCTCTATACAACCTAACCATAACCATGTCTAGAAAATTCGCCCACCAAAATATGACTCAGACTAAAGACTTTTGTTATCTCTTTTTATTGATATTTCCTTTGTCCAAACCATAGACTTATACTCTCTCCCTCTTGGCTTACTTTACTTCATTGTGGTTAGAAGCTGGAACAGTGTTTTAGATGATGTTTTTTTTTTTTTTTTGTACTGGGGATTGAATGCAAGGGGACTTAACCACTTAGTCACATTCCCAGCCCTTTTTAATATTTATTTAGAGACAGGGTTTTGCTCAGTTGCTTAGGGTCTTGCTAAGTTGCTGAGGCTGCCTTTGAATTTGGGATCTTCCTGCCTTAGCCTCCCTAGCTGCTGGGATTATAGGTGTGTCATACCACACCTGGCCTGGAGCAGTGTTTTAGAACATAAATATTATTTACTTTTTAATTTTTTTCTTTTAATGTTGATGAAATATACAGAACATGAAGATATTATCTTGGGTTGGGATGGGGCTCATTGGTATATGTGGAGTCCTGGGTTCAGTCTCCACCAAAATAAGCAAAATCTAACCATACTAAATATGTAGTTCAGTAATGTTAACTTCTTTAAAATTCTTTTATTTAATATTTATTTTTTAGTTGCAGTTGGACACAATACCTTTATTTTATTTATTTTTATGTGGTACTGCGGATCATACCCAGGGCCTTGCATGTGCTAGGCGCGCACTCTACTGCTGAACCACAACTCTAGCCCCAGTAATGTTGACTTTCACTCTGTTGTGCAACTAATCTCCAGAATCCTGTAATCTTGAAGCACTGAAAACTACCTATGAACTGCAGTACTTCACATTACCCCACTGCCAACCACTGTTCTGTTTGTCTTTATTCATTCTTTTATTCCAGTTTTACTTGATTTGTTCTATAAATCAGATGCTCTTAAAATTTTTATAAACAATTAGTTTATACTATATAACTTTGAGAAATGTGCTTTTGAGTGTGTGTTTTATAGATTGAAAGGTGCGTGGTTGAAATGGTGCCAAATGATGGCCCAGGGGAGGGAGATGTTATTCTTTTCTGTATTTGGTGAAGCTAGTTGTGGGCCAAGGGCTAGTTTTTGTATTTCTAGTTCCTCTTTGATTTGGTTTGTCTTCCAGGGTGTGGTTAAGATTATTAATTCCTTTCTTGGGTTTCTGTCATGTCAGTGAGAGTTCCACACTTGGCAAGAAACTAACCACTTAAAGCCTTTTGTCTGATGAGGCTATGAATTCCTGGGTTTCTCAGTGTATACTTTGATAGCTTGTGATGCCAGTTAAAATTACTAGCCTGTACCACATGCCTCAGCCTCCTACAGCGTTGGGCTGGGGCTTCTCTTAGGTTTTTTTGTGGTTGTTGTTTGTTTTTGTACTAGGGTTTGAACCAGGGAAAATTAACCCCTGAGCCCCTTTTTATTTTTCATTTCAAGACAGGGTCTCCCTAAGTTGCTTAAGGCCTTGCTAAGTTGCTGAGGGTGACCTCAAACTTGTGTTTCTCCTGCCTCAGTCTCATGAGTCACTGAGATTCCAGATGTGTGTTATTGCACCCAGCTCATAGGTTTTTGTACAATCTCTACTCTTCCCATTTTACCTTTTTCTCTCCTCCTTTTTCCAGGAAGGCATTTGTTGGCAACAGAAGTTGTCTTCCACTAGCTGTCATCTATAGTATACTTAAACAAAACAAAACACCCCCCCAAAACCTTAAAAACCCTCAGGTTTACATTCCTTTTTCTAGTTTCCAGTGTCAGTGAAGGTTTCTTTGTCATGACCTTTGTCCATTGCAGTCTTTCTTTGTCGGCAGGATGTTCATTCAGTTACATCTTATGAGGTCTTCCTTTCCTCTCTACCTGCTCTCTCTTCCCTTTAGTGATACCTTGCTGTTAGTTTTTAGATTCTGGTCTATGCAACTTAACATTCTCTTCTGCCAGTGACTCTTCATCTAGATACTCTGATTGGACAGCTGATGCAGGAATCAACTTGCAACCTCCTTTGCGAACATCATGCCGTCGACGAATTACCCGATTTTGTAGTAGTTCTGAGGATGAAATATCTGCTGAGAATTTATCTCCTCCAAAAAGAAGACGGAAGAGAAAGAAGGAAAGCAAACCTAAAAAAGAGGTAAGAAGGGGGCTGGGGTCATGGCTCAGTGGTAGAGCAGGTACCCAGTGTCTGAGAGGCACTGGGTTCAATTCTCAGCTCTGCATATAAATAAAATAAAATAAGGTCCATCAACAACTTAAAAAAAAAAAAGGTAAGAAAAATGTATTTAAAAGTAACATCTATGTTTTTTTCTTAAAATTTTTTAGTTGTATTCGGACACAGTATCTTTATTTTACTTATTTATTTTTATGTGGTTGTGAGGATTGAACCCAGGGCCTTGCCCATGTGAGGCAGACACTCTACAGCTTAGCTACTTACTAGCCCTTATTTAGTAAGAGTGTTAGAGGCCAAGA